AACTGAATGTAGCAATCGCGAAGGTGATATCTCCTATTTGCAAGAATAAACGATTCAATCTAATAATCTACTTCTCTAAAATCCCCTCAAGTTTAAAAACAGAAAATTTTAGCTAATAATCATTCGTCCGCTAGATCAGCGTTCACTTTTTACATTAACATTTTTCTTTTTACATTAATTACACTAACACAAGTGGAAGAAAGAAAACGTTTCTAGCAACTCCGCAGGCTCAGAATTCTATCCTTGTGATAAACCGACATTTCCGGATAGTGAAAAAATAACAATTTAAAAAAGCTCACCGGGGCACTGTTCAAAACTTCTTGTATGGCGGTAGGATCGACGGTGAGGCCTTCCATTTGAGCAAGCTGAGACTCAAGTAGTTCACGCTGCTTCTTCGCCTTCTTTTTGAGCTTCTTCTTCTTGTTTTTGGTCATATTTTCTTGGACCTGGAAATGATGATCAACATATTTGGACGGAAAGAAAACATATGTTTTGTTGGCTTGATTTATAAGAGAACAGGCGTTTGATCATGACTAAAGTGCCATAAATCACGCGGAAGTTGTAACATAAAACAAATCTTCCTTTCAACTGACAATTGCATACGGAAAGACGACGCAACGTCAAGGGCTCAGAAAGTGATAGAGATGTAACAGCGAAAATGAGAAGTTGGATTGATAATAAAGAAGGAGTTTCCCTTTGCAATGCAGACGAAACTATGATAGCCAGAGACGCCATGGGCTACAATTCAAACTGCTCTTAAAGGTACAATCTGGCTAGGAAATCCCACTCCAGAAAACGAGGAACTATTTTAAGTCAAAACTATAACGAAAAACCACGCTCACCTTCTTTTGCACATGGCTGGGTGCTGTGCTTACTGCTGACCCGCTTAATTTCAGATTCATTTTCGTAGCAACGACCGCGTGTTGCGCCATGAGCTGTAAGTTAAATATTGAGAACTGGAACAACCACAAACAGCAATACGCTTACCTTCACTTCTTCGTGACTCATTGTAACTAATACATTTTCCGGTTTAATGTCAGTATGGATGATTTTGCTTTTTTCATGCATATATCTGAGACCTTCGAGTACCTTGAAAAAGATGCATTTGCTTAATGACAGAAAACATGACGTGCATTGCCATTGGAGCGCAGAAGAAGAAGGTATACCTGCTTAGTGATTTTCCGCACTTGTTCGAGAGGCAAACCTTGATAGTTTGATCTGATTATTAGTTTGAGGAGGTTACAGCCAAGAACCTAAATGATGCATGAAATGATGACACATAGCAGAGCCGAGAAAAAGAAAACTGACCTCGAACACCATGCATGTGTGTACGCCATTTACGCCGCTAACTGTGAACTCGTCAAGCAGTTGTACAACTCGCT